CCTTGCACTTGTGACCGGCCTCAATGGATCGACATGAATTTATCGATTAATACTTAGGTATGAGTTTTTGTCCAACTAATATTTTAATAAATAAAACTAAAGCATTTTATTCATTTAATTTAGTCTCGCTTGATCCTTCATAACGTTTACAATAAAAAATGAATATGCGTGTGTTTATCTTAATAATATCTTGTTAGATGTGATGTCTATCCATAAAAGTTCGGTCAGCTCGATATTAACACGTAATAAAGGAGAAAAAAAAACATGAAAATCATTGCAATGTCTTTTCTATTAATCTATGCTATAAACTTCTATTAATATATGCTATAAACTTTTGAACTTGAAAAAAAAAAAAAAAAAAAAAAATAAGTGAGAAAAAAGTAAGCGTTCTTCAACTTAGTCCAGACGATGAGAAATTATTCTATATAATCAACACTCTATTAGTAGTCTCAATTATCCGCTAGAGCATGCGGACTTCAGTAGACCTTCGGTAGCCCGAGAACTCGATGTAGCTCTAATCACTAAGAGAAATAAAGATTTTTTCCGTCGGATGACTTGAATGTCTCGCGACTAGCAGTAAGACGGCACACATCCTTTATTTCAGTTTTACTCATTAATCTACTATATCGTTTATTCTGTACTTGGAAGTAAAGGATTTATCAATACGAGTCAATTGGTGCAATACTTCGGAAAATGTCGAGTGTCAAGTACTAATGCTGACAGGTGCAGATATTCATTATTTTTATATTAATAAAAAAATTTTTCATTTTAGTACAGAGTCTTACAACAAGTCCATCCATTACTTGTAATAGTGAAGAAATTAATGTTTAAATATTAAAATTACAGACATAATTGTGTTTAATCATTTTCATGGCATCATGATGAAACGATTGACGTGAAAGTGATCGACTGAGAGTTTTCGTTTGATTTTCGTCGAGATCGTTTGATACATGCGAGTTTAATAACGATATTAATTTATTCGATTTCGATCAGTTGAACTTGCGATTTTGACTGACTCTGACGACATCTACCTGAATAATTTCTTTTAATTTTCTAATTCTTTTCTTCCCGTCGAGTCCTCTTATGCATAATGATAGTAATCCCCATATTATTATTATTATTATTATTATTATTTTTTTTTTATTGTTTTGTTTTTGTTATCAATAAATTGCGCTTTTACTTTTCGAAGTGTGCATCTGGGTATGAAAGAAGCTGAAAAATAATCTGCTGTAAGAGTTTGAGTGATTTTTTAATTAGATTTTCCAAGCTAATATAGTTGCGCAAGATCGAGTTGAGCAGTGATAAATAAATTAAACTTTTAACCGTATAATTGTAGTCAATAAAGACTTTAATAGCAAGCAAGTCAAAAATCTTACAAAATATACATTAAAAAGTCATTGTATGTATACACTTGACATTAGCATTTCATACAAACTGCTTTGAGACTATGCGCCTTTCGTTTACAATAGACTAACGTAATCGAGTTAAGATATTTGTGCATAATGCGCTGGTTTAGTTGTTGTTTTACAAATGAGAAGACGTATCGAGAGAAAGAAAAACCATCCTTAAATATTTGTAAAAGAAGCGTAAGGCTTTCGTGGCTTTCGTGGCTTTCGTGGCTTTTAAGTTACAAATTGCGCAAATTTATTTAAATATGCTTGGATTTCAAAATATTGATTGTAGTCCTGAGATACTTAAATCTGCATATTGATGTTTTATTCGATTAAAAATGTAGAAATTCACTTAATTTCATCTCAACAATTATTTAAATCATTTAAATCAAATTCATATTGCATATTTTTATTCGCAGCAAAAATTGTACTAATAAGTATTAGTTTTATTTTATTATTGTAACAATTGTGTGGCACAGAATATTTTTAATAGGCCGTATATTGGATAAAATCATTACTATCCAGAAATTATTATACTGTAAATAAATAATAGAAAGGCGGTGTGCGTAAGTCTATGAGAAAGTTGATGATCTTGTCTAGCCTCGATGAACACATCTTCGTATATTATGGATGAAAACTTGAGTGTTTTGTGGCATTTGTCATTTATTGTAGGAATGAATCGCGATTCGTGTAACACTTATTACTCGAGTTTGATTTCTATGTTGTAAATACTTAAATATTCGACTATATAAAACAATGACAGCGTAGTACACGTAATTTCGAACAAAAAGTATTGGGCACACCAAATGTATTATTTGGATATGCAATTATCATTGATAATTTAATCTATTAGGTCGAAACATCGATTGTTATTCAATGAGCAAGAATACGAGTAAATTTGCCAATTAATTTTCATATTGTATTATTGTATTATTTGATGACGATCGATTGGATAGAGGTTTGTTGATAGTTTTGCTATTTTGGATTATCGCATAGGGAAATACGTATGCGGAAAACCAATATGAAAATCATTCATCATTATTATTACAATCGTTTCGTACACGTTGCGCCAAATGTTTGTTGATAACGCTTCACACGTTGAGCTTGGC